ATCTTAACGTTTTTCCAAATTTGTATGCCACACATTTTAAATATTTTTCTAACACTCCCTATTACTAGTTGTGAAGTGGAGCGTGCGTTTTCTAAAATGTTTTACATAGAAAACAAATATAAGACAGCAATGACAAATACTAGGTTTAATTATTTATCACTTCTTTCTATTAATACTGATCGCACCAAAGAAGTAAAATATGATGAGCAAATAAAATAATTTGCCGCACAAAAGTGTAGAAAAGTTCTTTTTGAAATTATGTAAGTGTTTATAACGTATTTAGATTCTATAAAATAAAAAAACCTGTAACACATAGTAATATTTATTATTTATTTATTGTAATGATTTAACCATTCATCCCAGCGTGTTAAAAATTGTAATTCTTTATTTCTCTCGTGCTTTATATTAATGCTTTTATTAATGCTTTATATTAATGCTCGCGCGTGCTTCTATTTATAAAAGTTAACTGTAATTTTAATTATGGAAAGTTCTGGAACTTTCGATGGCAATACATAAGGAGATGGAATATTCAGTTTGAAGAATAAAGTCTTAAGTTGTATGTGGCAAGAGTTGTTGATATTTTATTTCGTGTTAAAACTGGTGCCCAACGTGGGGCCTAAGAACTACGACCCCGTAGAAGCAGAAACCGCCGCTGTGACGAAACGCCGCAGAAAAATGAAAATTTAACCGGCTCTGTAAACCTTACTGTCCCGGAAAAAATTACTGGTATTGCGCCGCAATCCTTCTAAAACAAGAGAAAATCCTTGGAAATCGAGAGAGAAAGTGAATCATCCTGACTTCAATTGTCTGAAGAAAAAAAAAAGAAAATCTATTTCCTGTTAAAAGTTTTTGTAATAGTGTTATGTGAATTTTTATAGACAAGTGATAGCAATCCTGCTACAGTGTGTTAATGCTAGGGATAATTTTATTATTTTATTTCATTGATTTTTTGGTATTCTTATGCAATGATAATTCTTAATTTTGCTGTATATTAATTTATTTCTTGTGAGATAACGTTTCCTGATTAATATTTTGTGAATTGCATATTAATAATTACTATTTTGTTTGATATTTTACTGATTTCCTATTGAATTTAGGTAGCATTACATGCCTGATTATTTTAGTTTTGTTTAGTATTTTCATTGCATTGAATTTTTGTATCATTACAACTGATGATTCCTAAATTTCCTTTATATTATTTTATTATTTGAATTAATGTTCCTTGTTGGTATTTTGAATATGTTATTAATTTATTCACCTATTTTAATTGTATTTTGAAGTGCATAATAATTTATAAGATTTTAAAGCTAACCATATTTTAAAGTGTATTCCCATATCTCTATGAGCTTTGGTGGACAATAAAAGGCCTGGACCTTAGTTATTTATTTTATTTATTTGCAACTCTTAAATTTCTCAGTCATGTCATTTCTGGGAAAAGGGAAAAAAGCTGATATCATTAAGCTTGCTATTGAGTTAGGTGAATGTGAGTCGAATGGGGAAGAGCTAAAAATAATTGAATTAAGGACAAAAAATTTTAACAAATGATGCTTATAAGGAAGACCCTGAATTTGTGAAATGTATCTTTGAGGGAATCGTATCAAATAGGATAGACGAGGAAAACAAACAAAAAGAGCAAACACTGCGTGAATTTGAGCTGCAGAAAATACGAGTGCAAAATTAGATTCAAAGAGTCTTAGGTCCACAAACCCTACTCCAAACAAAAATTGAATTAAAAAAGTTGCTACCAACATTCAATCCTGAAGTTGATAACATGGACCTGTTCCTCACCTTATTCGATTTTATTCGAGCTATTGGATCTTGGTGAAGATCTGTGGGTACCCTATCTCATTGGTGCCCTACCTAGTGATGTAACCTCCCTCTTTGCCCGTGAGCCTGAGGAGAAATGCAGGGATTACTCCCACATTCAAGGAATGCTTCTGCAATGGTTCAAATTAACCGCAGAAAAATTCCGGGAGCTGTTTTCACGTCACAGAAAAAGCCAAAATGGAACGTGGAAGGATTATTATTTTGAAATCCGAGCATATTTTGAAGGTTGGCTCAATGAGCTTAAAATTGATTCATTTGACGGATTGAAGAATTTGATGATCGCCGATCAAACGAAAAAGAGATGCTCTTCAGAGTGTAAGGAACATTACCTGGATATCTGGGAAGAACTTATCTCCCCAGAAATGTTAGCAGATAAGCTGGAAGTTTTTGACAACATCCGACGTTCCCTACTCAGTGGACCTAGGAGACATGTGAAGGCAAGTGAAACCGTAAATGATGGAAGACAGGTATCATTCAGGAAACCTGAACGCCCTCCCAAAAGAGAATATTCCCATCAGGTACTGAATGAGAGATCCCCTCTCAGATGCTATGGCTGTGGGAAACAAGGTGTGATAAAATCTAGGTGCCCCATCTGCAACCTCAATGCCTCACAAAGAACAGACGTAGCAACCAATCACATCAATGCTTACACAGCTCAGAACAGAAGCTCTCGATTGACCCTAATCGACATAACTTTCTGTGGAATAAAGGGACGTGTATGTGCAGACACAGGATCTTCACATTCAATTGCTGGGGAAAGGATGTCCCAGATATTTAAGGATATAAGGGACTCCTTTTCCAGGAAACCACATTAGCAATGAGCTTAGCAGATGGTCAACAGACCACAGGTGAGGCCCTCACAACCCAAGTAATGGTAGAAATTGAGGGAACATCAGTCTTGACCAAATTCATAATTCTCCCAAAGGCAAAGGGAAATAGAACACTTCTAGGAACAGATTTCCTTAGTTCTGCTGGTTTGGTTCTAGATGTAAAGAATACTTGTTGGTACTTTTGGGACAATACTACCCAAAAGTATCCATTTGGTGAAGAATTGGACACCCCGTCCATAGTTGAGAAGATGTCCAGCAACACCTGCCAATTAAGAGAAGGGGAAGGTGAAAATTTGACTTCTGTGTGCCCAGAAGGAGAAACTTAACCTCCTGTTGGAATCCTTCCAAAATGTCTTTGAACCAGGGGGAGAAGCAACAAATATCTTGGAGTACCACATTTACACGGGAAATATTCCTCCTATCTCTGTACCCCCATACAGAATGTCTCCTGTAAAGAACTGTTCTGACTGCATTAAATACAAAGCTTCAAATCAGAAGCCTTCCGGGCTATTACAGACACCTGCGCCAGCCCAACGTTTTGAAACCTTGGCCATTGATCTCTTCGGGCCCCTACCTGAGAGTAAATATGGTAAAAGATGGATCCTCATCATTGAGGATTGTACCACCAAGTGGGTCGAACTGTTTGCACTACCCAATGCCACAGCTAAAGAATGTGCCATTACCTTGATTGAAGAGGTTCTACTGAGGTATGGTATTCCTCGCCACCTTATCAGTGACAATGGAACCCAATTTATGTCAGCAGTGATGCAACAAATATGCTACCTATTAAACATCCATCAATCCCTGATCCCTGTATACCCTCCACAAGCTAACCCAGTTGAAAGAAAGAATAGGGATCTGAAACCACGGCTGGCAATTCTCGTCCAAGACAAGCATGATGCCACACAGCATAATTTTTCACCCCCCTTGACTGTGTTAATGTTCAGTATGAATTGCATTCATTATGATCGCATTTTGTATGATCGTTTCTTTTTGGCCCTGAAAAGGGACTTTTTCCCCTTGTCCTAGCTTTGATTTAAGCACGTTCATGTTAAATTCGTCGAGTCGGTTGAATTCCTTTTGGAACAATGGTTACTCTTTGGCGTGGATAGCGCAAATGTTAGTGTCTTCGAATAAACCGACCAAGTAAGCTTTGCTAGCTTTTTGAAGAGTCATGATGGCGGAGATCTGAAATCGAAGATTCGGTGTGACATCTTGAGTGATTCCTCTATACACTCTTATATTCTCTTTTACCAAACACACTTAATCCAAACAATTCTTAAAAGCATTTGGAGAAAAAAGGCTCTTTTCAGGGCCAGAAATTCGGAATCGAAGCGAAAAGAAATTAAGAACTATAACAATTGTGATTCTATGCAGCTCAATTAAAACACAAGACAATGTAAGAAATAAATTTTGTTTGTTGGAATAACAATGTTAAAAAATAAAATAATTCTGTAATGGTGGTCAACAGAACAAAATATTATGTAGAAGAAAAAGTGTTTCTTGACATAACAATGAAGAACAAAAATTGGATTCTGTAACAGTGTTAAACAGAAATTTTTTTTTGTGGGCATAACAATGTAAAAGAATATGTGTTTTTTGACAAAACAAAGTTCGATTGTGTAATAGGGGATCTAAGAACACAATATGTTTGTACTAAAGCTCAAAACTCTTAAAGAAGTATTCAAGAAAATAACCATTAAATTCTTTGAAAAAATAGATTTTCATGATAATAGAGTATTAGCCAGAATTGAAAAATATAACTTAAATCCTCTTTTTAATAATATCGTCCTCGAAATATTCTTATCTAAACTCACCTTTTCCAAATTGTTCCCACTGCAATCTTCAAAATTATCCGAACTCACCATCTTCCAATGGACGACTCTTCAGACCGAGGGCTGATTTCGACAAAGCGGGTTCTCCGCGTGGGACGTTTTTTTCCCCTTCCCATTCTAGATTTTCAAGCCGACTGCGCTAGCTGGTCTCCGGGCTAGCCATCGTTCAGCACAGTTGTTTTTCCTGCACATACACAAACTCACAGACAATTACACTAAATAATTAAAAGTAGTATCACTCACTTTCAACACCCTTTTTTCACACCCTAATGATTCTTAAATATTCACCTAATTTTATTATCACCATGTAAATTCTTAATTTTAACATTTAATTTCATCCCTAGCTATAATTATTTTAAAGCAGCAAAGGGCTAAGGTAAAGCCGAACCAATGTTCACTCCCCATTTTTCCATGACAGGTGTTTAAGCTTCCTAGCTGGGAGCAGGCATTCCATCAACCATTCAACTAGTTAATATGTTTGTGGATATAACAGTAAAGTACAAAAAAACGCATTGTTCCCAGGAGGTCACTTTCCCAAGTACTGACCGAGCCCAATGATGCTCAACTTCGGTGATCAGGCGAGAACCAGTGTTTTCTAGTACGGTATGGCCGTTTGCAGAAAGCCGGCGTTTAATTACAATAAAATGCACGGGAATTATTTAAACTAATAAAATTACAACAATTACGAACAACACGCCAATAATTCATAAATTAAAAAAAAAAAACCACAGCTATAAATTTCATGATCGCAGCGAACAAATGTTTTGAAATCGGACTAGAAAATGTTTTATTAATAAGGGGTTGGGCCACCTTTGGTCCGAATGACATCCTGTGTTCGACGTGGGATTGGCAAATAAAAGTCTCGCACAAAATTCATCGAAATACGAACCCATACTTCATGAAAGGCCGTCTCAAGCTCAGATAGTGTGAGTAGAAGAGAAAAGTAAGCGCAGACTTCATTCTCTAAAGGGGTCCACAAACACTCAATGCTGTTCAAATCAGGTGACTTTGAACGTCACATTAGATGTTCCACTTCATCATCATGCTCATGCAGTCATGTTTGAACATAGCGAGAGGTGTGAATGGGGGCGTTGTCATCTTGGAAAACAGGGCATTCTCCCGAAAAAAGAGTCTGAATCATAGGGTGAACATGATCTGCGAGAATGCTTCGATAATGGTCACCTGTAGAATGATGTCAATCCATGGGAAGATATTGCCCCACACACCATCACAGAACCTCCTCCATATTTCACGGTTGGAATCAGGCAGTAAACATAAAATGCTTATGCCGGTGTTTGTCAAACGAGAAGACGTCGGGTCTTCCGGAATAATGTAAGTGATTCTTTACACCAGATGACTTGTTCCAATTGCAGTTGTGTCTAGTTTAGGGGTCTCTACTTTACTGAAATCTCTTCATAGCATTCCACTTTGAAAATAACGTTTTTGGAGTATGTATTCCGTCATGAATATTCACAGCATGCAACTGCCGTTGAACAGTTTCCTTTGATATGGAGTTCTGAAGGTGGGAACTCATCTCGGACGCTATCTATGGGAGTGCAGTCTTGCGTTTTTGGGTGAACGTCCTCTTAAACACTCATATATCACGGTCCTTCATCTTCGAAATTTACTCGCTTTTGTGCTTTGCAGAAGATACTTTACCCAGGCTGTCAAAACCCTTGACACAATAGTCCTTGAAACACACACAAGTTTGGCTGAGCTGGACACGGATGCTCCAGCTATGCGAGTTCCAATTATCATGCATCTTTTCACGTTGGAGAGGTCGTACATAATCACGCTTGCTAGGACAGATTTTTCTCATACAACTCTCAATGTGTCAAATGCTTGACAGATATCTTCCCTTTCGCCACCACCAGACGGCATAATGTTGTGACACGTTGCAACCGTTAATTGGACGGACGAAGAACTACTCATTTTTAAATGGGTATTCCAATTATTTTGTCCTTTACCGGTATCTATGTGAATAAAATGTACTCTAATAAACTTAATTTTTTTCGCAATATCCTTTAACACAAGACATTCTTTTAATATGGAAAAAAAATATTTCACTCCCCTCAGTTTCGTGTTAAGCGAATTTCGCTGTATATCAAAACAGAGATTCAGCTTAAAAGAACTCTTATTGATTACAAGAATTAGATGTGCGTCAAAAAATTGTTTTCGTTGTAAAACAATATTCGCAAAAATATAAACTTAAGATATATACAACCCTCGAGCTCCTGATTTAAATATTTACATAGCATTATGTTCACAAAATCATCGATGAGATCCTACGGTATTTTTTTTTAAATTAAGCTCATTTGAATCTGTTTTACTTTAAGTAATAAATTGAAATATTCCGCTTATGATCTCATGTAGTATTAACTTTAAATAAATTGCTACTTAATAGAGAGAGAGATTTGATTGATTATGCAAATCTTCGAAATAAAATATAAATATATATGTAATGCAAATATATATATATACTTCAGAGGAGAGAGAGATTTATTTACTTCGTTGCTACACATCTATAAACATAGCAAGCTTAGGATTGCTTTGCAGGGTTAGTATCAGTTTTGTGGTTTGGCAAACTTCTCCTTTTTGCTTATAGAACTGAACAAAATTCTAAGCCTAATATAATGCAACGAAATTCTGAATCAATTATTAATTTGGAAGCATATAAAATGAACACGCTCTCTCTCTCTCTCTCGTATTAAAACTCGAATCAATGAACAATAATTTAAGGTCGGGTTCTATGATTTAAATATAGGTTTAAAGCTTTAAAAAAAGCCCCATTTGTAGGGATTTGATAATTATAAACTATTATTAGTAAAATATTGGTAAATTGATATTAGTTAAATTTGGAATTATATTGACAATATTAAGATTGCATTCATATAAGACTGCAACAAAGATTTTTTTAAATAAATGTTTTTAACCATAGAAATTTTTATTTTAAAAAGGCTATTTCCCATTTCCTTTAAACAAATTAATCCCGTTTATTATTTTTGAAGAAATATTTGGAAAATGGCACTGTATAAAAAATGACACATCTGCTCTTTAAGTAAGTACATCGTAAAACATTAAACTAATAGAAATCGATCCATCAGACTAAATTGCAGCCAAGACAAGAACAGATATAAAAACAAACCGGGGAGAGATTTTTATGTAATATGCGCCCTAAAGAAAAATAATGAAATGTACCCTAATTCCGTTTTTATCTCGCCTTAAATTTCATCTTTCTGTACATATTGCTCATCTATAAATTTTTAATCATTGCAATTGCGCGTATTAGAATTTATATTTATTAATTTGTTTATTGGGCCAGTTTTCTAAAAAAAATCTCAAACTATTTTTTGGCATCAATAATATATTTTAGCCGTTATTGTCATTTTAAGCACTTTTAGTAATCTTCAAAATGAATATTTTATATATATATATATAAAATATTATACTATTGTATAATATGTTATACTATTGTACTTTATACTTTATACTATTGTACCTTATTCAAATTTCCTTACATAGCATTTTCTTTCTTTTATGTAGAGTGAGTGTGTGAATGAATATTAACATTGCTCTTTGCAGCTACTAGAGGGCGTTTGGCGACGAACCTCGTAACTTAGAACCGTGGTCGAGGAGAACGACAATTGTGCTGGAAACCCCTCTCCTAACTTCCACACAACGCCAACGGGAGGACGTTTGAGCTTCGACATACTTAATGTTCATCGGCCCCTCTCTGCATGGTGGGTCTTCAGCGGTACCAGGTTCGGATTCATAACACGCAGCCCAAAAAAGGGTCCTTTACCTTGACCACAAGATTACTGTGGCCACTCTTGTTCTATAGAAGAAAAACGGAGAACTAATAGTATAAATACTACGG